AGAAGTTTGTCAGTCTTGTTTATCCTTTCAAAGAACCAGCTCTTGGTTTTATTGATTTTTTTCTATTATTTTTTAATCTCTATTTTATTTATTTCCTCTCTGATCTTTATTATTTACTTCCTTCTGCTGACTTTAGGTTTTATTTGTTCTTCTTTTCCTGATTCTTTTAAGTGGTAGGTTAGGTTGTTTGAGATTTTTCTTGTTTTTTCAGGAAGGTCTGTGTCGTTATGAATTTTAAGAACTGCTTTTGTTGTATCCCATAGATTTTGTATGGTTGTTTTTATTGTCATTTGTTTCAAGGTATTTTTAAATTTCCTCTTTGATTTCATCATTGACCCATTAGTTTTTTGTTTTTTAATTATTTATTTTTGGCTGTGTTGGGTCCTCGTTACTGCATGTGGGTTTTCTCTAGTTGCCGCGAGTGGGGGCTACTCTTCATTGCAGTGTGTGGGCTTCTCATTGTGGTGGTTTCTCTTGTTGTGCAGCCCAGGCTCTAGGTGCGCAGGCTTTAGTAGGTGTAGCACACTCAGTAGTTGTGGCTCACGGGTTCTAGAGTGCAGGCTCAGTAGTTGTGGCGCACGGGCTCAGTTGCTCTGCGGCATGTCGGATCTTCCCGGACCAGGGCTCAAACCCGTGTCCCCTGCACTGGCAGGCGGATTCTTAACCACTGAGCCACCAGGGAAGTCCTGACCCATTAGATTTTTAGTAGCATGTTGTTTAGTCTACATTTCATCATTTTTCTCTAATTTCTTTTCCTGTGGTTAATTTCATGCCATTGTGGTCAGAAAAGAGGCTTGAGATAATTTCTGTATTGTTAAATTTGTTGAGTCTTGTTTTGTGCCCTAGGATGTAGTCAATCCTAGAGAATGTTCTATGGGTACTTGAAAATAATGTGTATTCTGGTTTTTTTTAATGTAATGTCCTGAAAATATCAATTAAGTCTAACTGTTCTATTGTATCATTTAGGATGTCGGTTGCCTTATTGATTCTCTGTCTAGAAGATCTGTCCATTGATGTGAGTGGGATGTTAAAGTCTCCTACTATTATTGTATTCCTGTCAGTTTCTCCTTTTATGTGTGTTAGTATTTGTTTTATGTATTTGTGTACTCCTATATTAGATGCATATATGTTGACAAGTGTTCCATCCTCTACTTGTATTGGTCCTTTTATCATTATATAGTGTCCTTCTTTATCTTTCTTTATGGCCTTTGTTTTAACGTCTATTTTGACTGATATGAGTATTGTGACCCCTGTTTTCTTGTCATTTCCATTTGCATTAAATATCTTTTCCTATCTCTTCACTTTCAATTTATGTGTGTCCTTTGCCCTAAAGTGGATCTCTTGTAGGTGGCATATTGTAGGCTCTTGTTTTTTATCCAATCTGCCACTCTGTCTTTTGATTGGAGCATTTAGTCCATTGACATTTAAGGTAATTATTGATAGATATGTATTCATTTTAAACCTTGTATGTATCCATTTTAAATGTATTTTAAACCTTGTATGTAACCATTTTAAACCTTGTATGTATCCATTTTAAATGTATCCATTTTAAACCTTGTTTTCCCGTTGACTTTGTATTTCTTTTTTGTCCCTTTTTGTTTTTCCTTTTGTGGTTTGATAATTTTCTTCTGCATTATACTTATGTTCTCTTCTTTTTGGCTTTTGTGAATCTACTGTACGTTTTTGATTTGTGCTTAGCCTGTTTTTCAAGTATGTTAACCCCTTCCTATACCTACTTGCCTTAGACTGGGAGTCATATAGGCTCAAACACATTATAGGAGGAAAAAAATCTACATTTTTTACTCTCCTTCTCCTCATTTTATGATTTTTTCTTTTTTGTGTGTGGTACGCGGGCCTGTCACTGCTGCGGCCTCTCCCCTTGCGGAGCACAGGCTCCGGACGCGCAGGCCCAGCGGCCACGGCTCATGGGCCCAGCCGCTCCGCGGCACGTGGGATCCTCCCGGACCGGGGCACAAACCCGTGTCCCCTGCATCGGCAGGCCTACTCCCAACCACTGCACCACCAGGGAAGCCCTCATTTTATGATTTTGATGTCTTCTTTTACATCTTCATCCTTTTGCTGTTCATTATGGTTATCATCACTTTCACAGAAATTTTTTGATTTTTAAAAAAATCTGTGTCTGGCTTATTTAAGTGATTTACTTTCCAGTTGTGATTTTCTCTTTCCTACAGAGTTTTAGTTCTTTTCTATTTAGAGAAGACCTTTCAATATTTCTTTTGGGATCAGTTTAGTACTGCTGTATTCTTTAGGTTTTGCTTGTCTGAGAAATTCTTTCTCTCTCCTTCTTTTCTAAATGATAATCTTGCTGGGTAGAGTGTGCTAGGTTGCAGATTTTTCCCTTTCAGGACTTTGAATATATCTTGCCACTCCCTTCTGGCCTGCAATGTTTCTTTAGAGAAATCAGCTGATAGCCTTATGGGGGTTCCCTTGTAATTAACTCTGTTTTTTTCTTGCTGCCTTTTACAATCCTCTCTTTAACTTTTGCCATTTTTATTATAATATGTCTTGGTGTAGGTCTGTTTGGGCTTATCTTGTTTCGGACCCTCTGTGCTTCCTGTACCTGGATATCTGTTTCTTTTTTTAGGTTTGGGAAATTTTCAGCCATAATTTCTTCAATTACATTTTTGATCCCCTTTTCTCTTTCTTCCCCTTCTGGAATCCCTATTATGCATAGATTGGCATGCTGTATATTATCCCATAGGTCTCTTATATTGCTTTCATTTATTTTTCTTCATTTGGCTTTCTGTCTGCTGTCCTGATTGGGTGATTTCCATTATTCTATCTTCCAGGTCACTTACTCATTCTTCTGCATTATTCATTCTGCTATTCATGCCTTTAGCTCAGTTTTGTCTCTGCAAATGAGTTTTCTAATTTTTCTTGGTTCCTATTTATAGTTTCTAATTCGTTTTTACAGTATTCTGCATTCCTGCTGATAGCCTTTCTTAATTCCTTCAGTATTTTCATTATCTCCTTTTTGAAATTGGTGTCTATTAGACTGAAGAGGTCTGTTTGTTTCATTGTTTGTTCTTTCAGGGGAATTCTCTTGGTCTTTTAACTGGGAATGGTTCCTCCCCTACTTTATTTTACTTATATTTCTCTTACTCTGTGAGTTTAGGAGAAACAATTATCTACTGTGGTCTTGGAGGGCTATTTATATGTGGGGGCATCCCTGTGTAGCTTGTGTGGGTTTAATATATTTGGTGCGAGGGCTGTTTTTAGTAGAGATGCCTGTTGCCTCTTAGCATGTGCTGATCATTAGCCCCTTAATATGGGGTATGCAGATGTGATGGCTGGTGCCATTCCTGGGGTTCTTGGTGGCGGTGGCAGCTCAGGTGCGCCCCCGGAGTACACCATGGTGGCTTAGGCAGCTCATGACCACTTCTGGGGTCCGGGAGGGTGGTGGTGGCTTGGGACCTCTCCTGGCATCTTTTCCAGGGCTCAGCCTTCCTGATTGAATTTTGAATTTTTTCTTTAAGGAATACTACTTATTTCTGATCCCTTATGTCCCCTCCCCATTCTCATTTTTCCCTTTCTTCGTCACATTGCAGCTTATGTTCCAAATTTTGGGGAAAATAAAAACTACTGGGGAACCCATCCCCATTGCTCTAAAGGGTAAGCCAAGAGCCCCATCTCCCTCATAGAGAAAAGCCTGCTTTTGAATCAAGAGTGAATTTGACTTGTTAAGTAGCAAAAGTATCCACTTCAAAATTCTTTCCTGTTTGTTTTTTTTTTTTTTTAAATCTCTTGTTCAGACAAATTATCCAGAGCTCAGAAATACAGCAAAAGATACCTGCAGCCCTTGTCAGGGCCATACCAGAACACTGTCAAAAAGAGGTGTACCCAAGGATTATGGAATTCTCCAGGCAATGTACCTTTGTTCACTAATGGCATTTGATTAGAGCCCACATTCTGTGAAGCCACATGCTAATTTACAGATTTCTGTTTGATAAAGTTCCAAATGATTTCTGTCCATTTGAAAAAATAACCCCCCCAAATTCTAATTGTATTGCCATGCAGGATGTTATTCAGTCCTGTCTCTAACTCATTTTGCCTTTCCCGGTGGACTAAGATACCTGATAGTCTTTGAACCCACTTATCACCTTGTAGGTTTCCTCATTAATGGGTTAGGTAAGTCACTGACATATTTCCATTCTCTATTTACATGAAAGTCTCATTTTTAACCTTGTCGATATCGTATAGGGGCCTGCTTCCTTTGCGTAGTGCGCAGAAAAGAGCAGGCCCGGCTGCTATCCTTATAAGGTTGGCCCATGGCTGACATCTGGGAAGTTGGATTTTATGAAGTTTCCCGCCACCCTGATAAGAGTGGCTCATGGAGCCTAAACAGTTTGTACAAACAATATGGTTTGCGTTGAATACCAGCTTTCCTTCTAGGAGTCTGGAATTTTGGTATGTGCCAGGTACAGGGTGCCTTCATAACCAGACCCTAATAACAACCCCGGGTCCTGAGACTCCAGGGAGGTTCCCTGGTAGATGGAGACATTTCATACATGTTGTCACAAATTGTTGCTGGGGGAATGAAACGTATCCTGTGTCACTCCATTGGATGAAAACTCTTGAAAACTTGCACCTGGTTTCCTCCAGACTTTGTCCCATGTGCCTTTTCCCTTTGCTGATTTTACTCTGTATCCTTTTACTGTAATAAGTCTTAATTGTGAGTTCACGAGTACAATGATATACTGAGTCTCGTGGGTCCTCCTAGCAAGTCACTGCTTCAAGGGGTCCTCGGGCTCATCCCCAGATTCAGTTAGTTATAGGCATTTTTACATAAATTATTTTTTTGCAAATTTTTCTACAAATTCATTTTCACAAAACAATTGTAAAGTGTCCTCTTAAAAACTGCCTAGACCCTGTTTGATGTTAAGGCCCAGATTTCATGGAGGAGGACTAGCCCTCCCAAGATCAATCAAGTGAAAACCTTACATTTCCTCTCTAAAGACCAAATTTTGGAATCGACTCACTGGTGTCCTGATACGATCCATCAGGGCAGTGAGTGACACAACTGTTCGTTTCCTCATTCAGGAAGTATCCATATTTACAGGACAGGCACTGGTCCCCATGGCTCCCAAAGCAGGACTCGCAGTTGGGGGCACACTTTCTGCATCGCTTCTTGTCAGCGTGGTAGTGGCCAGAGGGGCAGCTGGAGACACAGATCCTGCATTGTGGAATGATAAGAAAGAAGGGCAGTGTCACCAGAGATTCAGTCCTGAGTGAGTGAGGTGCTGAGCACATAGCTGCCCTCACTCTCAAAATCCTTTTTAACCATGATGGTAACACCACATCCAAAGGGCCAAATTCTGTTGGTTAAAGCCTTCTCCTATGTAGGGTGCTGACGTAGCACTGCAGTTACATAATACCAAGTCCACCAAGTAAGGCATGTCTTGGTCCAAACCATCTTCCAGTTCGGGTCTAGCTCTTTAAAGGGGATGATGGTTAGAAACTGAGTCTCAACAAGAAGGTTGTGCTGTTGGGTTGAAGGGAAAACATGTGCAAACCATGATTTTATGCACAAAGGCCCTAATAAGGGGTTACTTCTATTGTTGTGTTTGTCATATGAATCCTGTGTGTATGGGTGGTGAGGGTGATGGTGGTTGTATGCTACTGTCTAAATTAATATAAATATATTTAGGGAGTTCCCTAGTGGTTAGGATTCCGGGCTTTCACTGCTGTGGCCTGGGTTCAGTCCCTGGTTGGGGAACTGAGATCCTGCAAGCTGTGCGGTGTGGCCAAAAAAAAAAAAAAAAAAAAAAAATTTAAATTTATGTTGTTTATGATAAAAAAATGACTACCTTGCTTGCCCATAACTGAAGGTCTGGGCTTTATGTATTCATTTAACAAGTACTTACTGAGTACCAATTAAACATCAGGCATTTGCTAAGTCTAGGAGCTAATGAGAGGGGCTGAGGTAGCCAAGGGGCTTTCCCTTTAAGGAATTTATTCTTTTTAATTTTAAAAAAATGTTTTATACATTTAAAAAATTTAATTTTATATTCGCTTTAAGGAACTGAAATTCCAGCATGGATGTGAGAGGAACAGGACCACGCCTGGGTGGCTGGAGTACGGCTGCACTGCAAGTTGGCTCCCTGTGAGTTTCCTCCTGAAAGAGGAGGGGGAGGTGGTAGGGATGTGAGAGACACACCTGGAAGAGCACAGCCTCTGATGGGCAGTCGCTGTTCCCTGGCCCTCCCTGTGGGTACATATCTGCTTGAGTCAGAAGCCAGGGGCTCAGAAGCACAGGGTCCAAGCAGGCCCGCCTCAGTGCCCAGAGTGGAGTCGTGAGAACGTGCAGGGACCAGCAGCTTTGCCACATGAAGGGCTTACACTTTGGGGAATTCGGGCAAGCATCCATTTGGCTTGTGTACTGGCATTTTCATGAAGGGCAAATGCAGCTGTGGCATCAAACATCAACGGGATAGAAAGGTCTAGAGGGGAAGACCAGGCATGTGCATAGCTAGTCCCTCCCCATCATCCTTTGAAATGTGAGAAAAGACGTTTGCAGTTTCCTAGCCTACAGGTCCATTTGATGTTTTGTAATTCAGTGTCAGTTTCACCGTTCTGAATGATGGGACGGGGTCGGGGGGCGGGGGGTGGGCAGCAGCATCTCTTCTGGGCTTTGGTCCTGGTGGGAGAACATGGAACACACTGCCTGTGGTGACCCTGTGGGAGCTCCCAGGAACACCAGGGGGCGTGCTTCAGGGGGGTCTGATGTGGCTTCTCTCTTACCTGGTGTTGTTTTTCAGCTTGTAGTAGTAATGCAAACAGTCATTGCAGTGGTCTGGTCCTGGCCCATCACAGCCTACCTCACTGCACTCAGGGTCACAGGGACCTTCCAAAAGAAATCAGAACACCACTTGGAAAAAATGATTTTAAAGCAGGTAAGCTTTACCTTGAATTATAAATAGGTATTTTTCTCCCTTAGGCAGTGAGAGTTTTCTTTAAGCGTTTCTAATGCAGTGAGGTGGAGTAATGTTCAATGTGGCTGTAAGCCCAGAGTGAACTCTTGACTTTTTTGGGGAAAACCTGAATTACCTAAGTATCAAGCATGTAAATCCTAGTCAGGGCCTGGTCTTCAAAGCACACATATGGTTGCCTTGTGGGAGAAGACAATAATTCAGAATTCAAAAGAACAGTGCCATTGCAGCAACTAGAAAAAAACTGATTGATTGCAATTAAATATGCATAATGATAAAAATGTCGGATAGAAAAATGAGAATTTAAGCTGTTGACAGAAAGGAAAAAAGGGTTGTTATTCAATGCCCTGACCAGATTGTCTCTCTCATCCAAGGTCATTAAAGCCACTGAGTACCTCTGAGATACTGGAGCCAGCAAGAAACGTCATTATGGCATCTGGCACAATTTTATCCGCATCTCATTTTGGATTACAAAGCAGGTACTTCAGGCACAGATAATAGATTTAAAATTGCATCCTACCCATAGGCCAATGGGCAGCTCAACAAAAGAAAACTACACACACAGTTTAAAGATGCAAGCAAGCTTGAAGAATTCCAAACCTGGGATGAAGGTTCCTAATCTCTCTCTTGCTGTGTATTCTTTGCACAGGCAGGAAAAAAAAAAATGCCAGAAAGATAGAGCTACTTTGTGATTGATGAAAAGTTTTCTAATGACATGGGCTAGTTATAGATATTTTGCTTGCTTGACTAAAACTCCCTTTTTTCTTGTTTTCCATATTTTGAGAGATTTGGTCTCATATAATCTTGAAGCTCTTTCCCATTGAAAACTCATATGATTTTAACTAGCAATAAACATGGTGCATGAAATGCACAAAAAGTAAGTCAAGGGTACCAGAAATGTCTTGAGCCAAATGTCTTAAGCCATACTTATTTTAATAAAAAGGACTTACTTTTGTTGAAACTTGGTCTCCTTTAGTCATTGTAGGACTATGTTCTACAGTTACTGAATTGAAACGTAAAATGGTAGAAGTGGGGAGGAATGACTTAGAGAAAAATCTAGTAGTCAAACACCGTCATTTGACGGATAAAAACGATTTTCCAAGAGTTACAGTGGCTTGTCCAGTATCATATGGCTAGGAGAGTTGGGATCAACAGAGGTCCTGCTTCTTATTCTTAGTCCAGGTCTCCTACTTACGGGTAGTAAATCATGACCTTTGGATCTGAATGGAAATGAGTTATTTCAAAATGCTGCAGACTTGACGTATATTTCTGATTAATCATGAGTCATTTGACAGCACTGTTTATCTCTATTTTCCCAAAAGCCTTAAAACTGATCTTTAAATTCCACAGCTAGTGCAACTTGGAACATTTTAGCTGACTGCTATGGTACATGAGGAGAGAGTGTCTCTGCTGTGTAAGGGTTGAAGTGCACCCGGCTGTGGGTCCCACAGTCCCTGGAATTCGATGAAACAGTACAGAGATCTGGTTATGATAATGCCATCTGTGCCTCTAGAGAGGCTGACTTCTTAATGAAGGTGAAAATCACAGCTCCAAAGAAAAGGAATCATGGGTGGCCCTAAATTTTCACTGGATGATTTCTACAATTAAAACAACCCAAACCACTTATTCTTGATATGTGCCAAAGAGCTGTGTATGGCAAGTTCACATGCTGTGCTGTTTCTTTCATAATCTTAAACTGTCCCAGATGCAATTTAGCGTTTTAGGTTTCTGGGTAATAATGAAATAATTGTCTTTGTTCTCTCACAAGCACCAATGTGGACATTTTGGAGATGTAGTGAGAAAAACCACAAGGATATATAACTGTTCAGAATTTTAACATTACCAAAATTTGAACTGGAAACATACCATAAGGCACATAGTAATATATTACTATTATACTCCATTTATGTTTTTAGATAAACTTTCTCCTATCAGAGAAGACAAAATGGTTTGCTGGTTATAACATCAGTAGTAATGTTATAAGCGCAAAGCAAAATAAGACAAAAACTGAACACAATCTAGTTCTGGTTAGCTCAATTGGTCTGAATTCTCTAAGCTTATTATTGACACAGGGATACCACCTACTTAGAATAAAAGGAACCAAATGCATATTTATTTAAAATACTCTGTTAAAGTGATTAATGAAAAAGAATCTTAGAGAGCTGAGCTGTAAGAAAAAAAAAAGTTCCTGTCTAAAGGTATGTTAAACTGCTATTTACGAACAGTTCTCCATTAGGAGAAGCTTTGTTCATTAAGTGTTATATATGATATCCCAGAAGGACTGAATGCTGCTGGAAGTGGTAGCCAATGCAACAAGACAGGAATCAGAAATACACTGGGAAAGAGAAAAAATAATTTGCAGATGATATGGCTACAGTACCTAACTGCCCCAGAAAATCAACTCTAAAACATACAAATTAATAAAGTTAAGCAAAATGGCCAGATGTAAGATAAACACACAATAGCCAACAGATATCCCTGATACCAGCATATAATAGTTAGAAAATATGGAATATTTTCCACTACAGTAGCAACAAGACCTAAAATACTTAGAAATAACACTAACAAGAATAACACTACATAAAATTAAAAGATTTCAGTAAAATGGGATACGGTCTATGTTTTGGATGGAAAGACTGTATATTGTAAAAACAGTTCTTCCCATGAGATTGCATGTAAATTCAAACTAAATTTCAATGAGATTTTTAAAGGGGGATTTAAGAATTGCTATGAGAACAACGAGTAGACGTTCAACAGATATTAAAATACAGTGTGGGTGCTACTGGATCAAGAATTATTAGATTGGTAAATCGGAAAAGATGGTACCAGAAGAGACCTGGTATAAGAACTTACCATACTGTTATAAAGGAAACATCCTAAACTAATAAAAGAAAGGATGGCAACTCAGCTATTGATGTTAGTCTGTTTGGAAAATAAAGACAGAACTTCACTTCACAATATATATTAAAAATCAAAGATTACAAAAAAATAATCCATGTGAACATTTAGCAGATTTTAAAGAAGAAACATTCTGTAAAAAAGAAATTACAAATGTTATCTGAAACGATAAACTCTGCTCTCCAATTTTCTTTTTCTCTCAAAACAACACAAAACAAAAAGTACGTTTCGGAAGCAAGTGATAACAGAGAAAATGTTTTCAGCGAATATGAGACAATGAGAGAGTCAATAACATACAAAGAGTTTTTATAAATAAGAAAATTGCTGCCACTTTGAATAGAAAAGTGAGTAAAAGACGTATTTCATTCAGAGAACACAAAGGAAAAAATGTTTAGATTTACTAGCAATCAAAGCTATAAAAATTTAAACATGTTCTTTTCTTTCTTTTTTACTTTTTTCTTTCCACTCAATGCTGGCAGGAATGAGTGTAGTAAACACTCACACAGTGGTCACAGTGCAGACTGGTATATCTTGTCTGGAAAGCAACATGACAAATCATATCCAAGCCCTAAAACTGATGATTCCCTTTGATGCAGTAATTCTTAGAACTCTATTTTAAAGACATAGTCAAAGATGTAGTCAAAAACTGATAATGGTATTCATTTGAAACCTTATTTAAAATAGTCTAAAACTCTAAGCAAACTACACATCCCAGGTTATGGATTAAATATATTACAACAGGATGGACTATTAAGCTGCCTTTTAAATATGTGTTCTAAGGATACTTGACAACAGGGAAATATGCTCTTAATGATACCTTTAATGGAAAAAAAAGAATATGAATGTTCTATATACAGTGTGATTTTAGCTTTGAAGAAAAAAACATGAATATTTGAATACTTGAATGTACACATACCAATATCTAAGGGACAGAAAGGAAGATGGAATAAAATCTCTCAGGATATGAGTAGAGGTTTATCTCTTTGGGGGAATGAGGCATGAGCTTTCTTTCCTTAGCCTGCCTCCCCATTGGAAGCCAGCTCACCTGCATAATCCTCTGTCCCATAGTCATCAGTGGGGTCTTCAACGCGGCTATACCGGACACGTTCCACTTTAGGAAACTCATTGGTGGGTGAGTATGGCTGCACGGAGGTGCCATAGAGGACCAAAGACCATTCTTTCAATTTACCTTGGGAAACAATGAAAGCATATCATGACCAAACATTCCCTCTTCAGCTTCATAATTTCTTTAATTCCTTCTCACTGAGGAAAAGGCAAGAGTAGGAGAATTGTGGGAAACAGATTCATATGAATCACTGCATCAGATACAGGGCTAGAAATGCATTTTCCAACGCTTGCAGAGTTAACTGTTTAATAATTCACATACCACGTATTTACTGAACACCAAACGTAGGATACACCTTAATTGAATCAGCATTTTGTGTGTGTGTGAGAAACAAACACATCTCAGATTTCTGGATCAAGGGCTGAGTTTCAAATTATGGATATTTAAGAGAATCCCAGGATTTTACAGAAGGCCTTCTTTTTCTAGGTATAAAGGTTTTACATAAATTAAAAAAAAACTGTTGGCATTATCTGACTTGTTTATCAAAAAAAGATGAAAACAACTACTTTGTTCCACCTGAAATGTTAAGAATACATCACTACATTATCCTGTAGACACGTGCTGGCCAATGATAGCCACTAGATCCATTTGGATGTTTCCGTTTAAATTAACTAAAATTTAAAACTTCAGTTCCTCAGTTAGACCACATTTCAAGTACTCAGTAGCCATATGTGGCTGGTGGCTGCTACGATGAACAGCACAGATACAGGAAACATTTCTACCACTGGCAGAATGTTCTACTAGGCAGTGCTGTCATACAGCATTTTCTGGTCAAGGGTGCTTGGAGATGTGAGGGAAGTGTTTTGCCTCCTTTGGATGTAGGCTTTCAAGGAACATTTGCTTTAGTTAATCCTTATTTATAAATTTATTTCTTAGCTTTATAAAACTAAAGTCTTTAATGCAAAAAGTAAACGAACAGAAAACAACTGTCTCCTGGCCATTAAGCTTAATTTGGTTCTTTTTTTATATGAATCTTAAATAAAAGTTATTAAGACAAAACCATTAAAAACGTGGAAATATGCTGGCAGGAAGGTAGGATACCCCTCCCCCCACCTTAGATCTCCTCCTCACCTTGGCCTAATACAGAGAATCCAGGCAAGGTTAGGGTTGGGCTCTGTCACAGCTCAGAGAGGGATGAATTTCAGGTGTCTGCTAATTCATCTATCAGCAACTATAATCACCATCAAATTGATGCTTATTTTCTATAAGTGCTTACTATACGCTAAGTAAGTTTTATTCCATTCAGTGGTCTCAACAACTGGGAAATAGGTACTTGTATTCCCAATATGTAGATGAGGAAACTGAGGCACAGAGGTTGGTAACTTTCCCAAGGGCAGTAAGAGGACAGACTGATATCAAAATCTATCTGGGGGTTCTGATTTAAGATGGTAATATAGGAAGATCCCGAATTCACTGCTTTCCATAAACTTGCTGAATCTGTAGCCACATATGGAACAATTTCCTCTGGAAAAAAACCCCCAAACTAACTGAGTGGCTCCTACGCATCAGGCAAACAAGAAAACCCCAGATCAAAACGGGTAGGAGAGGCTTCGATGCATCTTACCATAAACCCCACCCCCCAGTGCTACAACCCACAATCGAGAGGGGACTCAAAAACCCCCAGCTTCTCCCCGAGGAGTGAAAGGCTTGAGCACCACATTGGGTACCAAAACTTTTAAGACCTACACCTGAGAGATGAGCCCCCAAACCATGTAGCTTTGAAACCCAAAGGGCCTTGGGTCCACAAGACCCATAAGACTGTAGTGAACTGAGCAGTTCTTAAAGAGCTCACCTGCGTGGACTCTCACTCCAGGGTGCTGTGCAGAGGCAGTCGACTGAAAAGCACCCAGACTTTCCATGAAAAAGGCTTATTTGCTTATCTTAAAGCACTGGCCGAGGGGCAGGCATCTAATTTAACATACAGAAAAGGGCCTACTGAATACTGTCCAAACATGGAGGCTCACTGGAGCCATCTGGTTCTCCCTTGGCCTGCTCCAGCTTGCTGGTACGAACAAGAAAGGAGCTTGTACTCTCAGCTGGCACCTAGGGGACACCTCTAGGTTGCTGGCTCTGGTGGCCAGTGTGGCTTAGGCTCATGGGTCCCCTAGGACTCTGAACAAAACTGACAAACCTTTAGGTAGCCTCACCAAGAGGAAGAGAGAGAAGACTCAAAATCAGAAATGAAAGAGGAGACATTTTAACTGATACCATAGAATTACAAAGGATCATAAAAGGCTACTATCAGCAATTATACCCAACAAATTGGAGGACCTATAAGAAATGGATAAATTCCTAGAAGCATACACTCTACCAAGACTGAATCATGAAGAAACTGAAGATCTGAACAGACCAATTACTATAAGGATCAATAATCAAAAACTTCCCAACAAAGGAATGTCCAGGATTAGACACCTTCACTGGTGAATTCTACCAAACAGTTAAAGAAGAATTAATACCAATCCTTCTCAAGCTCTTCCAAAAAATAGAATAGGAAGGAATACTTCCAAACTCATTTTATGAGGTCAGTATTACCCTGATATCAAAACCAGACAAGGTTTCCACAAGAAAAGAAAATCCCTGATAAACATAGATGCAAAAATCCTCGACAAAATGTTAACAAACTGAATACAACAATACATTAAAAGGATCATACATCATGATCAAATGGGATTTATTCCAGGGATGAAAGGATGTTTCAACATATGTAAATCAATATGATTTGACACAGTAACAAAATGAAGGATAAAACCCTTATAATTATCTCAATAGATGCAAAAAAGCATTGACAAAATCCAACATCCATTTATGATAAACACTCTCAACAAAGTGGTTATAGAGGGAACATATATCAACATAATAAATCAGGAACAAGGATGTAGGCAGGAAAAAGAAAAGGCATCCAAGTTGGAAAGGAAGAGGTAAAACTGTTACTATTATATATAGACTCCACCAAAAAACTTAGAACTAAGCAACAAATTCAGAAAAGTTTCAAGATACAAAATCAGTATACAAAAATCTGTTGCATTTCTTTACACTAATGATGAACTATCAGAGAAATTAAGAAAGCAATCCTATTTACAACTGCATCAAAAGAATAAAATACCTAGGAATAAATTTAACCAAGAAAGTGAGAGATCTGTACACTGAAAACTATAAGAAATTGATGAAATAAATTGAAGACACAAATAAATGGAAAGATATTCCATGCTCATAAATTAGAAGAATATTGTAAAGATGTCCATACTACCCAAAGCAATCTACAGATTCAATGTAATCCCTAGGAAAATTCCAAAGGCATTTTTCACAGAAATAGAACAAACAAGCCTAAAATTTTTATGGACCCACAAAACACCCCAAATAGCCAAAGCAATCTTGAGGAAGAAGAACAAATCTGGATGTATCACGTGCTATGATTTCAAACTATACTACAAAGCTATAATAATCGAAACAGTATGGTATTGACATGAAAACAGACACATAAATGAATGAAACAGAATAGCAAACCCAGAAATAAACCCACACATATAGGGTCAATTGATTTATGACAAAGGAGCCAAGAATATACAATGGGGAAAAGGCAGTCTTCAATAAATGGTGTTAGAAAAACTGGACCACTATCTAACACCATACACAAAAAACTAACTCATAATGGCTTAAAGATTTGAATGTAAGACCCGAAACCATAAAACCTCTAGAAGAAAACCTAGGTGGCAAACTCCTTGACACTGATCTTGGGAATGATTTTTTGTATTTGACAACAAAAGCAAAGGGAACAAATGCAAAAATACATAAGTGGGACTACATCAAACTATAGAGCTTTTGCACAGCAAAGGAAACCATCAACTAAATGAAAAGGTAACCTATGGAAACTATTTGCAAATCATATATCTGGTAAGGGGTTAATATCCAAAATATGTAAAGATCTCATACAACTCAATAGCAGAAAAATAATCTGATTAAAACATGGGCAGAGGATCTAAATAAACATTTTTCAAATGAATACATACAGATGGCCAACATTAAAAGGCACTCAGCATCACTAATCATCAGGGAAATGCAAATCAAAACCACAATGAGCTATTACCTTACACCTGTTAGAATGACTATTATCAAAAAAACAAATATTGGTGAGGATGTGGAGAAAAGGGAACCCTTGTGCACTGTTGGGGGGAATGTAAATTGGTGCAGCCACTATAGAAAACAGTAGGGAGGTTCCTCAAACAATTAAAAATAGAACTACCATATGATCCAGCAATTCCACTTCTGGGTATCTATCTGAAAAACAAAAGAAAAACACTAACTCTTAAAGTTACATGTACCCACATGCTCACTGCAGCATTATTTACAATAGCCAAAACGAGGAAGCAACCCAAATGTCGACTGACGGATGAATGGGTAAAGAAAATATATGTGTACATACATGTGTACACACACACACACACACACACACACACACACACACAATATTACTGGGCCACAAAAAGGGAATCTTGCCTTGTATGAAAACATGGATGGACCTTCCTAAGTTGAAGTCAGACAGAAAAAGACAAATACTGTATGATCTCACTTACATGTGAAGTCTTAAAAAAATAAAATACAAAAAGTAAAAGACAGAAATCATAGATACACAGAACAGACTGGTGGTTGCCAAAGGCAGGGGGTGGGTAGGGGTGGGTGAAATAGGTGAAGGGGGTCAACAGATACAAAGTTCCAGTTAAAAAACATATAAGTCCTGAGGATGTAATGTACAGCATGGTGAGTCTAGTTAATAGTAGTGTACTGTATATTTCAAAGTTGTTAAAACAGTGTATCTTAAAAATTCTCATCACAAGAAAAAAAATTTTGTAACTATGTGAGGTGATGGATGTTAACTAGACTTACTGTGGTGATCATTTCACAATACATACAAATATCAAATCATACAGTTGTACACCTGAAACTAATATTTCAATTATCCTTCAATTAAAAAAAATTATGTATCCAAATCTTGCATTCTTAAACTATTATATGATTCTGCCTTCCTTGCCATTTCTAGGAGTTTAGGAACTTGAAGTTTAAAAATGAACATATTCTGGGCCACATTCATTGTTTTCTGACATCTGCATTGGGCCAGCACACTGGTTTATATTTGGTTTGACCTCTGCCAGGTTTTCTTTGGACTCACTTGTTAATGGCTATCCTATTCATAATTAGGGTGTTGTTCAGTCTCAGAATTTCAAGTAGTGTCAAGAAATGAATGACTACCTGAAATTAATGACCAATCTGACTGCCGTTAGGTAGCAATGCAAAAGGGAACCTATTTTCCATATGGCATCTCTCAAGTGCACACATGGAACACATAATACAAGGACACTATGTCAGTTACTCTAAAACCTGGTCCATTTAACTTAAGATGATTTTGTCTAAAAGTTTACCCTTGTAAATGTTTAAAGAGTGTTGACTCATAACTGATTATTTCCCTTGGTGCCATTTCTGAAGTACATCATAGGCCCGCTGGGCAGTTTCTCTCTTTATTTTTCACTTATTATGTAATTTTATTTCCTTAGGCTCTCTGCCACAATTCACATCAACCGCTGCCATATTTGGGCCGTCACTTTTTCCCTCCCCTATCATGTTTCCATTTGCTAAATTCTATAGCAGACTTTGCAATAGATACTGCAACATCTTGTGAAAAATAGCAGTGTAAATGCAGAATGAGAAAAAATCCATTCTACTTGCTAACACTTAGATGCAATCTGCCCAAGATAGAAAACCCAAGATAGATTTAATATGCAATGAAACAAGAACAACAAAAATGCCTCCAAAAATCCTTAGTATGTGTTTTAATAATAAGCAAATGGGAAGAAATAATATACAAATATAAACTCAGTTTAGAGCCAGGAACCTCCATACTTGGGAATGATTCTACCATTTAATTGGGCTAGAAGATTCTATGTCTCCAACTGAATTTCGAGTAGCTTACTAAAGAAACCCCTCATTTAATTAGAGGACTGTACACCATAGGAACAATGATAGAAACACACAGAGAAAAGTAAAAGTCCCTTTTCAAAGTTGTGTCTAATTCCGAACTGAAAGGTTGGTTGAAGAAAGGATACCCGGAGACCATGTGTTTCTAATAAAGCCTCCTGACCCCAGGCTGTATAGCATTAGGGTATCTCTCTTCTGACACAAAAGAACATCTCTAAGATGACTGGAGGTGACTGGGGTTAAACGCAAACATTTAAACAGTATAAGGAGAAGCCAGTGATATGAAATGGACAACTCTACATGATCTGGAATACTGCAGAGAGCTTTTAACACAGATAATCACAGTAAACTCCGGATAGACTCTGAACTCCTTGAGGGCAGAGAGATTTATGTTGGCCTCTCATGCTTGCACACCACCCCAGGTCTACCATTAGTATGCCCCTAGGGGCAGTCTATGCTTGTGGGGAGGAGCATTTTATCAAAGAGTCACTTTTATAACTGTCTTAAATTATCAATAGATAATGCACCCCTTATGTCTGTACCCTAGGCTGCACCCCTGTTGGTACACAACTGCCACGTTTGGACAGTGTTTATTTCTCTGGGATCTCTTGAGATATAACAGCCCTGTAGTGACACGTGCTGATGGATCTCCTGGGAGCTGCCCTTTGGTCAGGGCAGCCCAGTCCAGTCACCATGCCTGCCATTGCCCCTGAGCGCCATGACACAGCACATCTCCATAGCATGAGCAGTAAGCCTGGCCTGAAAAGAAGAGGGAAGGAGAGAGGAAGGTCCTGGGAACTAACTAGATTAGGAACAAGTGAAGGTTGTCTAGAAACCAGGGTCTAGTTTATTTGAATGTTTTCTATCAACTCTGCCTTATTGACAAATATCTGATTTCTGAATAAAACCTTGGCAACCATTACATCCATGGTGCATGCTGGAAGTGAGCTGGACCCAGATACTCTTTCACAAAACTTTTATCCTGATTCATTGGGACCTTGCCACCATGCTGGTTTTGATTTCCCTGACTATGGGACCACTGTGGCAACACAGATGAACCACATCACGGAATAAGGGAAAAGAGATGGCTAAACTGTGTGCAGAAAATGGGTCTCTCAGAATGAGTAACTTTCCCTGACTGGTGGGCAAGGCAAAAGAGCGGCAAATGTACGGTTCACGCCTGCGTTCTGCTGTTTGCTTCTTTTGCCCGATGCAACCCACGGTATCTGAATGAATCACACCCTTACAGTTAATGACAGAATGTTGGGTTAAATTATTCTGTGATGAGGAGAGGACTTAGAATTAGATGGCAGTCCTAAAACTGCCCTCAAGCCCGGTTCTTCTGAAGATGGACTGGACAGAGCATTGAGAAGCATAAACTTATTAGACGATGGAAGAGGGGTCCACAGCTGGGTGGGAGGCTGGGGTAGTTATCAAACAGATCACTTGTTACTGAAACAAGTACTACTTAGGGCTCCATCACAGGCAACACAGGCTGCTGCAAAAATACTGTTCAATCTCCCATCTCATGCTGCATTTGTACTTTTCCTTATTTTATGTCACAAACAAGGTTCATACGTTAGCAAGAAGAGGGAAATAGGCCATGTGCGGCAACAGAGTCAGACCACCTGAAAAGAACTCTGTTAACATCATTCATTTCCACGTTTTACGTATCAGGAAAGTTTTCTCTTTACTTAGCTCCTGGGCTCACAAAGGGCAGAATCCTATCATGCATTCTCTTTAGTGGTAACCAGTTTAGCTGGCATAGGCCAGGCTCAATGTCTGTCTGCACTGAAAATTAAATTGAAAGTAAACTCAGAAAAAAGATAGTCAAGGGAACTTGTCTCCTCTTATGACCATGCAATTTACCCATTGTAGGTGGACAAGGCTGGCTTGTTTATTGACAAAGAAAGTAAGGGAAGCTGGTTAGAGATATGGACCATATATTCTGAAATATCAGTGAATAGCTGTCATGTTTCATCTTGTACTTATAGCTAAATACTTATTCTTGAATTCGTATCCTTAAATTACTACTTTTCTAATGGTGATCTTGAGAATTGGAGAACAGGAAGACAACTCAAAGCACAGGATCATATGAGAAAGGATAAAATTGATATATGAATGTGAAACACATTCCTTGGCCAGAACATACTCCATCATTTTTCTGTACAATAAATCAAATTAGAGAAAGGGAGTTCCTACCTGGAGTCTTGAAGTTCCTCAGCTGAGAGGGAGTGTCATAAACTTCCAGGATCCAGTCACCAGCAGCTCGTTCTCCCCAGCAATGAATGGTCATGAACTCCCAATTTTTAAATCCTTCCATGGAATGATCAAAAAGCCTGAGAGAGAACCATAAAACATTGTTTTTTTATGTTATTTAAAATCTAGTGAGTATCAAGTCAAGACCATGATGAGTGATCTCTCTGTATCTATCAGCATGTTCAGCTCAACCCTGGAGGTTGTCTTCATCCTGGGCCTCACCGATTAGTAGATCCAAATATATGCATATCATTGTTCTACCAGAGGGAAACAGGCATGGGGCTGGCTGTCCAGTAACAAATCTGGGAGGGATAATGATGTGGGTATCAGGGAACCTAGGCTAAGACGCTACTCACAAGCCTGGTAGTACCAAGAGTTGATGATGTGGAGAAACTGAAGCTCTCTTACACTGCTGATGGAAACGCAAAATGGTGCAGCTGCTCTGAACAACAGTTTGACAATTCTTACCATATGACGAAACAATACCCCCCCGCCTCGCCAGATATTTACCCAAGAGAAGTGAAGACATACGTCCACACAAAGAACTCCACATGAAGGCTCACAGCAGCTTTATTCATAATCATCAAAAACTGTTAGCAATTCAGATGTCCATCGACTGGTGAATGGGTATACAAATTATGGTATATTCACAGAATGAAATACTACCTAGTAATAAAAACTGTTGAACTGCTAATGACTGCAACAACATGAATGAATTTTGAAGGCATTAAGCTAAGTGGAAAAAGTCAGACACAACAGATCATGCACTATCTGATTCAATTTATATGACATTCTAGAAAATACTACTTAAACAGAAACAGATTAGTGGCTGTCAGGGGCTAGGAGGTAGGAGGCAGGGGCATGGTGGAAGTTTTGGGAATGAAGGAACTGTTTGATACCTTGAAAATAATGGCTGGTTATGCAGCTATATATATTTGTCAAAACTTATTATTCACATTAAAAAGTGAATTGTATGTAAATTACTTCTCAATGAAAAACCATGCCCATTCATCTTATCCAGTTCAGGGAGTCATGCCTGGAACTGCAGCCTAAATTCTGCCCTTCCAGCCCTTCTAATAATTTTCTAAGTTCCTAATTCCCTGTATGAAATCTCTTCCTGCTTGAAATCACTGGAATTACTTCTGTTTTCTGTGAAGTCATCCTGAGGGATACAAAATATAAAGAAAAATAAAGAGAATCCGAATCAAGAGATGTCAATAGATATGTATAAAATAGATATGGATAAGGCTAGCATAGGAAGAAACAGGCATATTATTTACATAGGCATGTGACGGAGATTTGACTATCTGAAGAAATATCCAAAAGATTTCTATAGAGATGGGACCCAGAAAGTAGAAGATGAAAGATGGGGCAAGAGAAAAAAAAAATTTTAAGTACTTAAAAAACATTATATACATCTATTATTTTTGTTGGGGCAAACAGAGAGGGAAAAGCATCTCTAGCATTGTCTTAGGAGCAACCGTGTCCAATTACTGGGACATATCTGTCCTTCAGTGCAGACAAATACAAAGGTCATGACAAGTGGATGTTGACAGCTATTTAAGACATACAATCACCTCTCCTTGCTTTACTTTCCTGTTCACCAAGGAAACTCGTGGTTATCATTTGAACTTCCATGTGCATCTTCCCATTGGGAGAAAATGCACCCTTCTAAAAACAAAAATAACCAGTCTAATCTCATTATAACTTAATACATTACAATTCTGATTTTTTAAAGTGTTCTATCAATGTGTTTGAGGCTCCCTCTAAAATGCCAGCTGGATTCTGAAGCTGGAGGGTTAGGGGACGTAACTAGGGACCGTGTTAGGTAAATGGCTGACACTCGGCAGCTTTCCCTGGAGAAAAGCAATAAACAGGAAAATCACCTGTTGCATACTCCTGAGGTCTTGGAAGAAGAAAAATAAAAAGTATTTAGCAACATTCTCCAAGTGTCCCATGGTCAGAAAATTGAGAAAAGGCTGAGTCAAAGTTGAACAGATCTCTTTACTGGAGAACACTGCAGATCTTTGGAATATTCAAATATGTTTTGTTAATCTCCATATGGGGTTAATGGGAGGCAGTGATTTTCAAACCTTATATGGACAGGAAGGCCTTTTTCTTTTTTTAGAATATCTGTATACTAACCTGTATAACCTGTATACAGGTTACTAACCTGTATACCTGTATACTAACCTGTATACCTGTATACAGGTTACTGTATACCTGTATACTGTATACCTGTATACTATATACCTGTATACTGTATACCTGTATACAGTAACCTGTATACCTGTATACTAACCTGTATAACCTGTATACAGGTTACTAACCTGTATAACCTGTATAACCTGTATACAGGTTACTTCTGAACCAAAGGGTGCGGCATTTCAACGAGGACCATATTAGATCTGGCAGCTTTCCCTCATGATAACGGGGATGGAAACAGTGGCTCCTTACATGAATGTCTTCCCACTGAAAATGATCTTCGATAGATTATGGATGGTACATACATCCAGGAGATCTTACAATCCACGCACTACCACAATAGGGCTTGTTTCACAAGTTTGTGGCTTGAAACTGGACTTGGCCAGGAAGAAATTGTTGGGTCATTATAAACACAATTGACTTACCTACTGGGTCCTTCATGTAAAACCCAGAAAGTGTGTGTTGGGTGAAAACGAGACACAGAGGTAGGGAAGGAGGAAACTTTTCAAATGGTACTTCCTGCCAGAGGGATGTTACTGAAGTGAATATTGTGACATAGAAATGGATGGAGGCAGAAAATTGGTCTAGAACCACTTCTTAGCCCAACAGTTCTAATTTCAGTTCCAATTCGTTGAGGCTGTTGTGCCATTTGAGGGCACTGAAGCGACAGCTTGTCACGTAATACCTTTCCAAGAGTGTCAAACTGAAAAGCAATTCCCAAACAGTTTAGACAGAACATTTGGCTCACGGCCTCATGTCCAAAAACTACAAAGGAGACTTGAGGCTGCCATCACATGAGGGGCAGTCTTGTTTCCACAACCTCAGCCAACTTTTAATTACTCATGGGTCAGTTATTTATTTGAGTGCTGGATTAGCAGACCCTATGTTTCTTCCCTTACACCCTTTCCTCTCCACCTTTGAAAATCATTCCATTGCTATCAATCATTTTAAAATCACATTTGGAACGAAAATTAAATATAAACTAGGTACCCAGAAGAACTATCCATAATCACCATTCAAATAAGTGTTTCAAAGCCCGAATGTAAACAGGCTTTGTCTATCTGGCTGAGTGGTTCCCAGCCCGGCCTCTTCACTTTATGCAGAGCTGGAATGCTCATTAGTTTCATGTGGACATAAAAGTTGAGGAGAGGAATTAAAATGCAGCCAAACACGATCACTGCATTTTGCTAAAAGAGTTGACGGGGAGAGAAATAGACACTGATTGTTATTGTTGTTTCAACTAGCTGGGCATTGACTTTTCTAATCCCCACCCTTTTATTTTTACTCTGATTCAGTACTTAAAACTATTCGCTATTTTTCGTATTGTACTATTTAAAAACCCTGCATCATCTGCATATAACAAAAGGTAATGTAGGTAGTAGACGAGACTTGTGTTGCAAAGAACATACTCGCTCCAACCAAGTGTCAAATCACTGGACAGCGCTAAAGAGATTCTAATTGTGTGGTCTTCGTTTATCAACTAAAAAGTCCAGTGCCCTGTCTGAACGTCTGTGCTGTGCCAACAGTGAAGAAAAGAGACACATGCCAACATTATTAGTGTGGATCAAATGTCAATAAAGCAGGGCCAGCGTGCTGAAAGCTGGAGTACATTAACTCCATACCCGTGTCCACATCTCCTGTTGCAGTGAAACCCTGTTCCGTCAACTTGACTTCATAATCATGTGCTCGATGAAATGATATATGCATGCAGGGGCACAAATCGTGTATCCAGCTATTAAAACGGTGCCCACAGCCCTACCCCTGTGAGCGGTTTTCAATTACTTTGATGAAGATTGGTAGGAAGGACTGCCATTAAATGTAGTACGTCCTTTTGAGGAATTAACTCAGGAAATAACTCATATAATTACTGTAAGCTTTCTTTCCCCCTTTCACTTAAAGAGTCTAGCCAATGTGTCAAGGCTACAACATGCTTCTCTGATGTTATGGCAACTAAATAACAAGACATTTTGTAAGTACTGACAGCTATGTGTTATCATATAATTATTTCTCAAACTGTAAATGGATCTTAATTTCAGAATCATCCACGACTACAGACAGTATTTGTGTTCACTACAGAATTAGACATTAAACCAATATTTTGGAAGTTTTCTTTTTTCTTTTGGTTCTCTTTTTTGATTTTTAATATTTTCAGTGCTTCATCACAATTTAACCTAAAGCTGATAGAATGCTTAAAGCACTCATTTGGCTTAGTTGTAACGGAGCTTCTGATTTCCTTTAGATGTTCGGCTTTTGTAAGTTGTAAATAATTTGCTTCTGAAACGGTACTTAAAACACACTATTAAGTTTTTCTCTCTCTTCTAATCTAAATCGCTTCTTTAAGAAAGGTTGAGAGAAAGGTACTGGTTCTAGAGGTTTGGAATACCTAAAAAGGTGAGTTTTCTAAAAAACTTTCAACGTGCACATTCTTACTAACTTACCAACCCCGAAATGCATTCCTTCTTGTGGGTACACGATGTAAGTGCTTAATCGTCTTGAAGATATATTCTTTCATAGTAGATGGCTTTTATCTAAATATCTGTTTTACATTATAAACTCCTTTGTAAATGACTTTCACAGCACCCAGCAGCATACTGCTCACAAGTTTTTTGATGACATGAAAATAAGAAGACTGTGTTTGAAAAAGCTGGGTGATCTTTTAAATCGGTGCCATTTAAAAGTCTGGTCTGTGGATGGGCAGCTTCAACATCACCTGGGAGCTTATTAGAAATGCAAATTCACGGGCCTCACCTAGACCTTTAGAATCAACCTCTCTGGGAGAGACCTGGCCAGCTGTGTGTGATAGTCACTCACCAGGTGCTTTGAAAGGCACTGCATAAAGAAGGGTTAGCACTTATAAGTGCTTACTATGCTAGGA